TTAACTGTTTATTTCTTGTATTATATATTTATCTGTATATGATTTAACAGTTAATTTCTCGTTATATATCTAATTATATTTATAAATAAATATATTAAATTATCAGCAATTTGGTTTTATCTCTCTAGAGAATCCTGTCTAACACACCAGTAAAAGCCTACTTGACCACAGTGAAAGAAAACCCATTGGGATCCTGTTTCTTAAAAATTTACTTCCTATTCATGGTGTATAGATTCCCTTTTAATGCTATCAAAATAGAAATTACCCTGTCAATCTTGTTTTAAGAACTCATCTCCCCACGTAAGATATTCATCTGCTAGGTGCTCAATCTACACAATCTTTATTAAAATAAATTATAAACACTCTCCCCTCACAGCAGGCACTAACTTTGAGAATAAAGTGACAGTAGTAGGAAGAAGTAATTCACATACCTAGATGTGAATTCGTTACTAAGGGGCACACTGAGTTTAGGGAAATTCGTGTATGTGTAATATAGGATGTTAATGCTGCCTAAAACAATAAAAAATAGTTAAAAAAAGAAAGAAAGAAAACTACTATCTAGCTGTTAAAATAACCATCTACTTTAGTACAAAATATGCTTTGAATGAAAACCTGATAATAGTAACAAAACGTTAAAAACACTCACAAAAGAAGGCTATGTGTATTTGTGTGCATTCACATGCATGCGCCCCTATGTGCGTGTATCCACATACTTGAAGCAGAAGGGTGTACCAGGCCCATGCTGCTGGTTGCCTCTGGGACTAGCAGGAGAGTGGGTCTGGTGGTCATCTACGAGCATTTCATATTTCAATTGGGAAGAAAATATGATCGCTAATGTTAACAGCTAAAAGAAGTTACTTATACATACAGAAACGTGGCACGTGTTTTTGTATTTGGCACTGGTGCATAAGCACTAGACTGCTTAACCACAAGGTTGGTGTTTCAAAACCCACCAGAAGATTCACAAGATAAAGTTGAGTCTATCTGCACTCAGAGATTAACAGTCTGGAAAATTCTGTGTTAAGGTCATTGATGGCAAGGAGTTTGGGGTTTTCTATTTTTAAAAACCAAAACAAAATCTGCAACACTGGAACAGTATCCCGATGTATGGCTAAGTCATAACATAGTCAATCCCCAATTGTTAAAAGACACCCACCCAAACAATAGTTTCACCATACACATTAACAGTGCCACAAGGAATTTCTTTGCTATTTTTAAGCTCAAATTAATTTCTCCTTAGGGCAAATTTGATACAAATTTGCTAAATTAATTCTAAGCCTGTGTTACCTGTGATTAGCTACTGTTTAAAAGACCGTATCACTAAGTGACATGCACATTTATATCTGTAAGCTATAAATGACATACCTTCCTATTTCCTTGCACCCTAGTCAGTCTGGATACTAAAAACTCACAAAGCTATTTTCACCCAATTAAATATGTGAGGAAAAAAAATAACTATCATGAGCCGCCTAGTCCAAGTCTCGGAAACCCCACATGTCAGAGAGCAGTGTGCCATGGATTTTCAATGGCTAGTTTCTTTCTTGGCAATAGAGCTACAGATTTCCTGAGGAATCTTTGGAGGTGGACTTGAACTTCCACTCTTTCAGTCAACAGCTGAACATGTTACCGACTTGCACGACTAAGGAGCCCTGGTGGTGTAGGGGTTACAAGTCGGGCTACTAACAGAAAGGTCAGCAGTTTGAAGCTACTAGCTTCTCCTCGAGAGAGCAACTAGGCTCTTTACTCGCGTACAGATAATGCAGTCTCAGACACCACAGGGGCAGTTCTACTCTGGCCTGTAGGTCGGCTACGCATCTGAACTGACTCCATGGCCGAGGGAGTGAAGGCGTCTGTCTATGAGGCTGGGTCACTGAACAGTAATAGTCTCTCATACTAGAATTATTGAACAATTACAGTAGCATCTTAAAGGAAATGAAACTTAGGTTTCATTAGGAACTGTGTGTGTATAATACCGTTAAGACAACAAAAGAAAAACATACTTAAAACACACACATATTTAAAATAGCGCTCACTTTGTTTTTCCTGGCAATTTTAGGCAGGATGTAATTGCAATTATATAACTGTGTTTCTGAGGATAATATTCACATATTATGCTTTTTATAATTAGAGACTAATGTAAAACTGGGATGGTCTACTTTTTTTGGCGTGTGATCAATTAAAAAAACAGGCACTTGTATAAGACACAATGAGAGAAAGGGGAACCAATCACAAGGATCTACATATAATCTCCTTCCTGGGAGACAGACAACAGAAAGGTGGGTGAAGGGAGACATCAGGCAGTGTAAGACATGACAAAATAATAATAATTTATAAATTATCAAGGGTTCGTGAGGGATGGGGGGCAGGGAGGGTGTGGGGGGAAATGAGCTGATATCAAGGGCTCAAGTAGAAAGCAAATGTTTTGACAATGATGATGGCAACAAATGTACAAATGTGCTTGACACAATGGATGGATAGATGGATTGTGATAAGAGTTGTAGGAGCTCCCAATAAAATGATTTTAAAAAATACACAATGAGAATCAGGTGAAAGCCATCTGCTTGTCACTAAGTAACCCAATATTTTTAGAGAATCTCTTCTTCAGTTGTCAATTGCTAATTAATACAGGAACAAACGTCAAGTCCTTAGGATCTGTCCAACACCAGGCAGATGACACATTCTTCTATGTATGTTAAATCCATGGCAGCCATAACTCAGGAGGGGCATGAGTCTCTACTGCTTGCCAATTTGCGAGTCATCTGAACGTACTTCTCCAAGAAGGCAGACTCCGATCTTTCTGCCTTCGGTAATCAAGTTAATGCAGCCATGCTGAAAAAGGATACTGGCCGAGCTTCCATGGCTCTCACCAATTTATTCCTAAAGTAAGGCAATTTGAAAAGGGTTTCAAGTTTGAAAGTGGCAATGAAAGACCTTCCAGCTCCTTCGTCTACTAAGCGATACCACTGGTCAATTGCCATCTGAAAAGTATTTCCTAAAATCATTGATTTTGTTAGTGACACATATCCTGAAAGTTCACAGCCCTTTTCAATGCTCACACTAGATACAACTTGGCTAGGAACTACTAATAACTAGTATTTGCCTAGTGCGTCAGATATTGTTAAGCCTATAAAACAAGGCAACATAATTACCATCACCATATTCAAAAGGGAAGATGCTGAACCAGCTGTACTACTTATTGGAGGTCACACAAAAGCAAGCATTGTCCAGAACACCAAGTTCTGGCAGCCTAAGTTTCTACCTGCCGCCACATCACTCAAAAGTACCGCCTGTAAGAATTCTAACAAGAAACCAGGAATAAGTTAAAGTGAAGTCAGAGACCCCACTAAAGAAACGATACTGAAAGATCATCGACCCAACACCCTCCAAAGGTTTCCAGGAAAGGAAACCAAGGCCTTGAAAGGTCACAGAACTAACTTACTTAGTACTCAAGGTCACCCTTCTAGCATTCCTTAATGCAAATTCAATGGCCTTCAATTACTGGAGATAAATGCCCTGATATTGTCACTGGCACATCTATTACATGCAGGCCCTGTAAGATGTGCTAAATCTGACTGAATATTTACTGTGTTGTTTCCTGCAATAGCTGCATTTTCACATTTCATTCCCATAATATGATTAAGAAAAGTACAAGTGTTAGTTATCTCCATCTAGATTAGAATCCAGGATGAGCCAGTAAGTTGTGTACTGCTAAGAAAAAGCCAATGGTCCGATCAAACTTCCAAGTATATGTTTACTCTAAAAAAATCTCATTAAAGTTTAAAAACCATGTCCTCGCCTAGCACTCAACAGACATTAGGTACAGCACTTGATTATCAGGTCAGGGTGTGGGAGCTCCTTTTGTAGGGGTTTTAAATAGCCCTAGACAGACATCACTGGAAGTATTTAAACCAAAAGGCCAATGCTAGGAAAGTGATCAGTCAAGTTAAAGGAAGGACAAAGAAAAGGTACCATCTTCTATTATGGGTTTGGGCCTCAAGAACATACTATTTTAAGGATGACTCACAAAATGTTATTACAGTACTCGTTACTACCTATATTCAGTGCATAAAATCTCTGTGGCATATAGCAAATTAATTAAAAGTTCCATTTACTGTCTTCCCCAGCAGGAATTCTTTAACTTTTGCTAAATAGATTTCATGAGATTCACATCAAAAGAAAAAAACCTCAAGTGTTAAGTGGTGCTTCTATTATGGAGATTTAAAAATGAGGTTTATGAATCTTTCCCCTACCAGATAGTGTAATTTGGTTGCAATTTATAAAATTGCAACCAAAGAAAAAACAGCACTACAAAAAGTCATCCCTCACAGCAGCAATAACCCCATGCAGTATTTCTAATATAAATGGTTACCTGAGAAGTCTGTCAGAAGTCTTGCTAGGACATGCTTGTCTACCAGTTCAGTCTTGCTAAGGCTGGAAATGGAATCTACCCTAACAGTGTCTTTGAAAAGAGCAGGGTTTTCAGAATTCCCAAGATCAGATTCAGCCTTGACCGTTGAACGTTCAAGGGTGTTAAAAGAAGAATCTGGAACAAATGTGAACGTTTGCTTGGCAATTTCTTCAGGAGGCGATTCCACTTCACCCCGTGCAGAAGCTGGCTCCTTGGCCTGCCTTTCCCCTAATTCTTTCAGGGCTCTGATGGTCAGCTGTTCCTGTTCTAAGTCAAGAGATGCTACCAGAGTACTCTGCAGAGGGGAACAACCCCGAGGCTCGCTCTTAGTTTCTTCTTCACTTTGGTCTGTGTCGTCGCTTCTTGTGCCCTGAACTTTGGAGCTACCGGACTGACGCAAGAGTCCTTCAGGGAGAGCCCTCCTACATTCCGTCTTCTTCTCGGATCCTGCTTCGAAGGCATTGCCTTCAGCGCTGAGCACAATCCCTTTCTCTTGGGAGTCGGTGAAGGCTGTTAGCAGGTCCTCTGGGGAGGAATCATCCAAATCTTTCACATTTTTCCCACACGATGCCTCCCAATAGGCTGAAGCTGTCACATTCAGAGGGGAGGATTCTGTCTCATCATCTGCGGTTACAATAGGCTCTTCAGGCGCAACGTCACTCAGATTCTGGGGCTGTTTCACAGCTTCTGAGCTGAAGTTCACTGCAGGTACCTGTGCAGGAGTCACCTTACCAACTGGACTCCTTCCAAGAGGATTAGGCTGAGCTTGGCTCAGTTCTGAGTCACTGATGGACTCTACAGAGCTTTCCGATGGGTTGTTTTCTCTGGGGCGACTGGGAATCTCTCCCATGTCTCTTTCGCCTGTTTTTGCGCAACTGTGAGATGACATGTCGGCTGTGAAGTCCTCTATTACTGTGTCATCAGACTCGCCAGAGCTGTCAGCCTCTGTCATTTCTCCCAATGCAGAGCTCTGCCAGGTCACTTCATCTTTTGGGTGGTCACTAGGCAAAGCCACTTTCCTGGTGGCCGCCCCAGATCCCAAAGAGACACATTTCTCAAACGAAGAGCCAGGTAACCCTAAAGGGGTGTCCTTTGCTTGCTGCACATTGCCTCCCACGTCTTTGATGCCAACATCCCTTGCAGAATCAAGACAGTCTGCTCTGCCACCTGCAGATTTGATGAAGGGATTGTTCCCATTTGTGGAACATACGGGAATTTTCTGGCCCGAGTTAGCTTTCAGATTGACCACGGGGATGATGGAATTATATTCACCCTCCTCGAGTCTGGTTGTTACTTTGTTGGAGTCAGACCTGTCAGACTGCTGCTTCGCCTGGGGAATCAGATCCCAGGTCAGTACTTCGTTAGTAAAGTTGTGCATGTCACTGACGCACCGAGACACTTCTTCCAGTGTGGCAGTTGTGTGTGAGAACTGTCGGGTGAGCAGTGAAGAGGTTGGGTAGCGCCCCAGCTCTTTACTACGCAGGGGGAACAATTGGTCTTTCCTCTCGGCCAGGTCGGCTGTGGACTCACCATCAGCAGGCGCTGCCCAGCTCCCCGAATCCCGAAGGCTCTCCTTATAGGAGTCCTGAAACTCCCTGTCAAATGCAGCTTTGTCCAGGATGACTTCAAATGGCGACTCGGGGGACTCCTTCTCAATCGTGTCGTTTGGGGGTGGGGATAAAGAGCTGGGAGGAACGCCTCCTGCCTCGGGCTGCCCGGCGCCTGCTCTCTGAGCTGAGAGCAAGGTTAACTTGCCATCTGCCACCGGCACAGACTTAGCATCCCGACTTGGGACAGCAGCCGGGCCCTTGGCCTCTTGCTCTTCATTCATTTCCTTGTGACCAACTTCCTTTGGGAGAAAAGCAGGAGCTTGTGGGAAGCTGGCTGGGATGGAAGGCTGAGTCCAGGGTGCTCCCTCATTGTTCTTTGTCCCCTGAGGACTCTCCACCTCCTTCATGTTCCCGAGGGTCGGGTTGACATCTTTTGCAACAACAGGTTGGCTGCCGACTGTGCTGGCTTTTTCTCCATGCAGTGTGGTCAGGGTAGGGTTATCTGGTTCAGAAGACGGAACAGAGGAGGAAGCCATCAAATGTGCAGGTGCCTCATGAGAACAGAGAGAGCTCAATGCCGCTCCCATTGGGGTTCCCGCGGGAGAACACAACAGTTTACCAGGTACAATTACACACCAGCTTGTCGGGCCAAGCAGCATGCTTTTAGTGCTTTAGAATGATATATATAAACATAGGCTGTATATATATGCACACGCAGAAATACACAACAAAACCACCACCCATGGCCACCACCCTCGCAAGACATGCCAACAGGAAAGCAGCGAAGCCAAGTCATGCCACCAGTTGCAAAGGACAAAACAATTTCACAACAAATTCTTTTTTGCTCAGTCTGTTCCTAGTATAAAGGTGAAGCAGGAAGAAAGGCCCTGCTATTGGGAGGGAGGTGTGGGGAAGGACAGGTGTCTTGATGGAAGCAGCAGGCCCCCATCCCCACCCCCACCCCCACCCAAAACGAAACTTGACAGGATGAAGCGCTGATCCACCTCCGTCAGCAAGCTCAAGGATTCGAACACACTGTCCCTTTCCACCCACTGTTGCAGTCTGACACAATCCAAGAGAAATACCAAGCCAAAAAAGGTGGCCAGAGTCCCTTTTACCTGCAGCAGGTAGAAGAGGGCCCTTCTGGAGCCAGCCAAGGAGGCTGGAAGGAGTCAGTCCTCTACTGGGGCAGCTCTGTCCACACACAGCAGGCTTCCGCAGTACAGAGGCCCTGAAAAACTTGGCTGGCTCCAAGATCTCTTGCCCCAACCCTTATTTTCAACACAAAAGGAACTGTGCAGATTGCTTTGGGGTTTTTTTTGGTTAGAATTGAGTTAATGTCAGAAATCCTTTAAAAACATGAAAAAACTTTCTAATGGACACCAAAATCAAAATAAACTCACTGCCGTCGATGCTGCCTCCTAGCAACCCTGTAGAACAGAGCTGAACTGCCCGTGTGGGTTTCTGGGACTGCAGTTTTGAGCAGCCCAATGCATAACCCTTATATGTCGACAAGCTCCTGCCTTCCACTAGACACAAGACATTAAAATTCAACCTGATCAGTTATTAATTTGCGGTTACCAAATTAATTTTCCATCGCTCCCAAAAAGAACAAACAAGTTCTGAATGGAGGAAGAAGGCAAAACACCCATGCCAAGGGAAGGCACTGGCTTTCTTGCGGGCTTCAGCCCTGGCTCACTCCAGCTCACCCTGGGGGCCCATCCAGACTCTATCTCCAGAGTCCAATACAAGGTCGGTCTCAGACCATTCCAAAGGCATGCGTCAAAGACTCAGTGTGGCCACGGGAGTCCTAGGGACACTCACTCAGGGCGGCGATGCCTGCAGCATGAGTAACTGGGAAGGTGTGAAAGAAAAATGCCTTGGTGATGACCTTTCTTCAGCTTACATTTTTCTGGTCAGATGTAATAGTAGGCACACAAAGCCAAACGAGGACTTTATTCTAACATGGTCAAGAAAGATGCACACAAAGGAGAATTAAGGATCTTCCTTTGACAAACGGGGTTCCATGAGCCCAAAGACGTTCCTAAGTACCAGATCAAGTACTCCTATGCCAGCACATCACTGGAATGGGAGAGAAAATGAACCAACTTTTGGAATAGTGGGACTGTGGAAGGTCTTTGTAGACGGAGGGTCCCGTGTCATTGAGCGAGGCGCACATTCCACACCTGTCACGATGCAGTTTGGGGGCTCAGCTTGCACTAATGGGGAAATATTCATGAGACAGGATCACTCAAAGCACGCCACAGACCAGGGAGGTTTCAGAAAGTCTGGGAAAATGCCATTATCTCGTAATTCCACTGTGGCGCAAACTTTCTGAAACTCTTTTGTGTGTAAAACCCAACCCACTGCCATATGGCCATTCTCGCTCAGTCGCCCCACATGGCACGTGGGACGGCCGCTGTGGGTTTCTGAGAATGGAACTCTGCAGGGGAGTAGAGAGCCTCATCTGTCTTCAGCAGAGGGGCTCGGTGGTTTCAATCTGCTGATCTTGTGAGTAGCCCGAGCCTTACTGGGCACTAGATTTGATGTGGTTTGGGAAGCCCTCCCTCCAAACAGGTGCAGAACTGTGAGGGGAACAACACAGGCTCTATCGCCGAGGGAAGGCTCTGTTTGTGTGCTTTGTAGAGACGGACTTTAGATGACCGAGCCCGCCACTGGACAGCAAACCATGTGCCAGACACTGAGTGAAAGCAAAGAACCGAAGAGGCTTTAAAATGCCTTTATGGGGCTTACGATAGAGGGAAAGATGATAAGCAAAAATCGAGTAAGCAGTGATGACGAAGGTGAATAAAATGGAAAGCACCTAAAGAATCGTTAAATTAAAGAAAAGACACACAACAGAAAAGAGAAGCGTGGTTCAAGGTCCTATGGTTTGTCAGGAGAGAAACCGGGCCGTTTGCCAAGCTGTGTTCCTTTCCCATCTTCCATGAACTCTCAATACTCCCGAAGCCCCAAATTAAACAAACACACACCTCACTGCCCTGGAGTCAATTCCACCTCACGGTGACCCTGTAAAGCAAGAGTGGAGTTGCTCCTCTGGGTTTAGAAAACTTTAACTTTTTAAGGGACAGAAAGCCTCATCTTTCTCCCACAGAGCTGCTGGTCGGTTCGAGACCTTGTGATTAACAGCTCAGTGTGTATGTAACCCTTCTCGCTACCAGAGCTCAAGCCTTCAGTTCAGTGCATAATAATCGGAGGTCAAGTTAGAGGATCAGATTAGACATCCTGTTCTCAAAATACCAACAAGTCCTGTACTAAAAGCCGTAATTGCCTTAAGAATTGCACACATTTTATTAAAATTTTTTAATATGCCAAGCATGCCTTACGTGCCAAAATTAGCTTTAATTATGCTTCCTAATAATGATGTTGTACCTTAATATTTGGGATGGGTAGTGTTTTGTTTTGTTTGGGGAGGGGGGAGAACTGCAAACAGGAGAGGCGAGTTCAGCCAGTACCTGATCTCAGGACTGGAACGTAAACTAGTATCCTCACAACTGCAAGGTAAACTAGTCTCCTCATTAATGCTTTCATGGTAACTATCTTATTTGGAATTTCAGCAAATGAAAATAAATTTCATTGGCTAACTGAAACTTTAGCAAACCTGGAGAACACAGATTCTCACCAAGACAAAGGAAAACAATGGGCAGAGTATATCCATGCAGGAAACATTACAAACAACGAAGCCCTGACTCCATGAAGCACCCACAAACACACACTTCCAATGAGCCTGCTGAAACAGCAGTTGGAGAGTCGTTCCTTTGTAAGATATTGTACAACATAAAACACCGCCAGAAGGCTTAACTCGGGTCATTTGACATCTCAGGAAATGTCTGTCTGTCCTTTTTCTAAAATGGCAACCCCACATATCTCCATCAGCTGGCAGGGATGCTGGTGTGGATCCGAGAACCACCCACCCACCAGGCCTTCCAGTGTGGCTTCTTGCCAAGTGCCTGGGCATTCGTGTTCAAAGAAGCGTTTCTCCCATCTCCGGGGCTGCAGCTCTCTGCATGCTAGCAGACCCAGCAAGATGTCGGTAGCCATGATGACTCAATGAAGGGCCATGAGGAGCCAGGGAAACCTGCTCTCTTTCTGAGTGCTAAGTGATTTGGGGATGTACAGAATTTCTTTCGGTTGACTTCCAAGAAATTGACTCTGATCTGTGTTCCTGAAGTATGTGCTTGAGCTAAGGATTCATTTCTCTAGCTAAATAAGACAATTAGCCACAATAAACTAAAAGCTACCCCTACTTTTAACACCACCCCAAACAATCCCATCAATATCTTCAAAGTTAATTTTTTGCTCTACAGTGAAATTTAATGTATTCATTCATTTATAAGAGCCCCAATCCCTTAAAATATGGTGCTACTCGAATTACTATCAAACAAGAGTTGCACCTCAAAAACCCAAACCTATGGCTATCTATTGCAGTCCATAGTGACGTTACAGGGCAAAGCAGACTGCCCCCATAAGGTTTCCAAGGCTGTAACTCTTTAATGGAACAGACTGCCACTTCTTTCTCCCAAGGAACAGCTGATGGGTCCAAACCACTGACCTGTCAGTTAGCAGTTCACACCACCAACCATTCAATCAGGGTTCTCATGGTGTAGTGGGCTACACATTGAGCTGCTAACTCTAAGGCCAGAGTTCAAACCCAACCAGCTGCTCGACAGGAGAAAGATGAGGCTGTCTACTTATAGGGTTGCTATGAGTCAGATGAGTTTTTGTTCCAAACACCATATTCTCAGAAAATCTCTCCAGATCCAAAGGGAGATTCCAGGTCACATGACATTTTACTGAAGGAGAGAAGCAATGTATACTGTTAACTCTTACTTTCATCTGGCCCGTTCTACCCCATAAAGTTACAGTCTCAGAAACCAGAGGGCCAGTTCTACTCTGTCCTACAGGGTCACAATGAGTTGCAATTCACTCGATGGCAGTGAGTCCGTACTACAGAAAAACTCATTCAGACTGAGCCTTAGACACATTCCGAAATCAGGAAAGGACAGTTTAAAGAACTGTAAATCTTTACAGAAGCAGATAGCCCCTCCTCCTCCTCCCTTGGAGCAGCTGGTGGGTTTGAACAGCCAATCATAAGCTTTGCAGTCCAATGTTTACCCAACAGTACAGGCCAGATGCCTTTGATACCTCAGGAACAGACCTTAAATGCTACCTTATATATGGACAAAGATAATTAAAACAACGGTGACAGTTAGATTTCGTGTCAACATGCACCTGTGTGAATGTGTAGGGGTGGGGCCCAACCTATCAATCCGGTCATAGTCTGATGATGGCTCCTTGGATGATGCCCTTTGATAGGAGCGGCACTGGGAACTTCTCCTTCCTCTCAGCCCCTTTTTGCCTTTCTGCTTGCTGGGACTTTTGTGGGCTGCAAGCCAGGGCAGATCTCGGCACTCTGCCATGTTTCCACAGACCCTGGATCCACCCGGCCCTGCACCCACTGACTGGCCTGTGATCTGGCTA